GGGGGTCGGTTGCGGGTCGGTCAGGTGAGATATATTGCCTGCATAATCCATGGTGCAGTCATATAGGTTGTGGTTTGAGTGGTTTTAGAATATAGATACAAGGATTATCTGGAATCTATTTGTGGGTCTTGTTCTCTCCCATATTATATACATATTGGTGGGTTTAGATGTTGGTGATGACTATGGGGCCTCCATTCAGTGCTCTGCATCCTGTTATGCCCTGTCTGTGGAGCGCTGGCATGTGTGTGCTGCAATTGCTCTACTTAGAAGGTGCCTGTATAGTACATTCGAACACAGTGTGTGGTCACTCTTGCCAGCGCGATGGTGGCTACCAAGCAATCTCCTGTGTCTGGTGTTGAGAAGGTCGGAATATCTCAATCATGCATGAAAGGGCTCACAATCCTCATATGTAAGTCAATGCCCCCTAGAATTTTGGCTAAGGTGCTCACCTTGAAACAAAAGGTGGATGCCTACTTTCAACGGTGGCCGGGCGAACCTTGACCTCACATAGCTTGCTTGGACTGTCTGCGCCATGGTTCCCAAATAATAGATTGTGATTCCTGAGGCCACGATGTCAGAAGCAAAGCGAGGGGAAGCTCGGTTTTGAACATGATGGGGTACTTCAGATAGTGTAAAACCCAATAACTGTTTGAAAGCTTCCATGCGTTCATGGCTGTTTTACAGGTACGTCAGGCTGGTGTTAGTATAACCCCCCTATAATCATCTGAGCCATTGTGTACAAAGTCCTATATCATCCACATTGTTATAATTAAGAACCTATTGTAGTCTCCTGCATATAATCCCCAGATAGCCCTTTCCAAGCAGTTTGTAGCATATGTGTGGTGTATGATGTTCAACCAACCCATCCAAGACCAACTGTATGTATCTGCCACACGCAATCCTGTATAAACTCTGGGAACCCATGAATGAAGTAAACCCGACCCTGTATATACTCTTATTAAATTTGTACCCCCTGTAGATTATATTGAGCGAGTTATCCTTTCTATGGTGTAGCCACGCTGCTGCGGAGGCGATGTCCAGGAGCACGTCATCGACCGAACTTGCCTCGGACGGCTTTGATTTGGCTTCGTTACTTTCTTGCAAATAGTGGGCTGGGAGAAATGGTATCTGTTGNNTTGCAAGATTGCAAATCAATTATCAAGGGTGTCTACACCATCGCCTTCCTACAGCCGAAGCTTCACAACAGACTCCTTGACAGTGGAGCCGCAAGATGCCACTGCCACGCCGGGTAGTGTGAAGCGTGAAGTTTGCAGCCCAACACCCCTGCCACCCCCTCCGAAGCCAAGCCCAGCAAAACCTAAAGGAATGTGCGCTCCAATGCCCATGCCAAAGTCTGAAGCTTTGCTGGCTGTTGCTAGAAAAGCAAGGGATCTGATGATGGGTAAGGCGTGCCCGCCTCCTTCGTCAGTTTCGGGGCATGGCTTGGTCTTGGCAGGTCCACCGCCCAAGGCCAAGCGTGAGTCAGCTGAACCTGAACCTGTTGTTGCAACACCTCCTGTTTCCCCGCCTACACCTTTGGCGCTCAAAACACAGGCCCCCTCAACTCCTGCTCCTGCTAAGGCCTGCAAGTCTTCGCCTCCCAGCAAGGCCAGCCCTGCAGACCAGTTGGTTCCAGCCAGCACCCCACCAAACAAGAAAGCCAAGATGACCTCACCTCCTGGGCCGGCTCCTGCAGACCCCACAATGGCTGCTGCTGACTTTGCAAGGGCTGCTGCCCCCACAATGGCTGCTGCTGAGCCTGCAAAGGCTTCTCCCGACCTTGCAAAGGCTTCTCCCAACCCTGCAAAGGCTTCTCCCAACCCTGCAAAGGCTCCCATTACGAACCCTGCTCGTTCTGACGCAGCAAGCAAGAATGCCGAGAACCAGAGGGCGTTGTTGACCGCAATTGGGGAGGTGTTTGTTCAAGGGGACGAGGCAGGTTAATCAACACATGTTTCTGCAGTTGTGGCTTTGTCTATCTCACCTACTTTTGCATACTGTTTGCTCTCCGTCTCTCATATACTATGTTGCCATGTTGATCATCCCCGCCCGGTTCACATCCCAACTTTCCTCATCTCACTCTTTATCTTTCTTTGTGGCTTTGTGTTCTGCCATTGCTAAACATCTCCCTGTCTTTCACTGCATCCCTCTCCGTCTGTCTTTCTATCTGTCTTCCTATGTGATGTTTTCTTTCGCGTTCTTTTTGTCAGATGGGCATCATTCCTGAGAGCTACCAGCAGCGCCAGAACCTCTACGCGAGCTTCAAAAGGCATGAAATCATGTTCTGCTGTTGGTTAGATGGATGTACAAGTTCTTCAACCTGACCTGTTCAGTGAGCTACCTTGATTGCAAACTTGATCCACAAATATTTGGAAAAGGGGCACTGCAAGCAGCTTGAGTCTTACAACACTACATGTTAATTTCCAGCATTGTTCAGGCAGATTTCGCGAGGAGCCTCGGATGTTCCAGCGGAGATCCAGACTATGTGGAATAGAGCAGTTGCTGGCAATTGCAAAGCTGCAAAAACGGCTTTGTTCAACAAGTGGCTGCTGGCGGGCGCATCCTACTCGAGGCTCTTTGTTTCAGCAGCCTTCACAAACCTATTCCCTCATGTTCCCTCACTCTGTGGAAAGGATCATGATCCGCCGTTCGAGAACGCGGGAGGAGGTTGGGGAAGGTGAGCACAGGATGGGTTCCTTGGATGCATATCGGGGTAGCCTATGCTGGGGGTTGCATCATGTATTGTATACCTATAGAATGAGCAAGTTCTCAATTTAACGTTGCCTGCTATCAGGTTGGAGAACAAAGAGTCAGCTGCTCCTGCTGCATGGTGAGAGCAACAGGGAGCTCGTTGAGGCCATTTGCCAATCCAAACGAGCCCTTGGACAAACCCGACCACACCCAGACGCTCCGGATGATGTGGAGGCTACGTTATACTATGCACTTGTTCTGCAAAAACAAGCATGTGTACTGTTCATAAGAATTGCCCGCATCAAGAACACTGCCACCATGTGTACGCATCTTAGGTGCTGCTTGATATCTATCATGCTGAGCGGCATGTGACAAGAGATGCGCTCCATGTTGATGAAGAGATCGATGTCGAGGTCGGGGGCCAGGCCGCTGTGCTGCAACCACGCAACATCTCAGTTGTGCAGTGCAGAATTGGATGTTATGTTTTGTTTGCTGCAAGCAGGTGCACACGCAGATGCTTGGGGCAAATGCAATGAACAACATGATGACGAACCTGTCCTACAAGCCAGGTGGAATGGCTTCAGCTACCGCTGACCCAAGCAACACGGGATGTTTGGGCATGCCGGGAGGTGGAAGTGCAGATGCTGAGTTCACGAAGGGAGGCGGCAAGGGCAAAGGCAAGGGTAAGGGTAAAGCGGGCAATGATGTCATTCCGAAGTTTGGAAATCCGAAGAAGGCTAAGAAGGTGTGCCTTGGCTGGTATATACCTGTGGGGGGTAGCATTTATAAGGCTATACGTTTTATACCTATTTGGTAATTTCCCGGGGGCCCAAATATATATACCCCAAAAAACTACAATGCTTATTACGGGGATCCTCAAAAGAGTAACCTTAACTAAGCAACGTTTGACGTCTTGCTTGCATATGTGTTGCCATTTACATGGTACTTTTCTCTTTGCGTGTTCATCTAAGGGATGAAATGCCTGTGAAGCCTCTGGATGCGGTCAATTGGATGATGGAAAAGTTGGTCAAGGCTGTTGGAGAAGCCAAGATGTTGAGTGTTCGACTTCATGGAGTGAAGCACCAGCAGTCTCTGTGCTACTTGATGTGCATGGGGACGGGGAAAAGGACATTACTATCCTACAACCTTATAAACCCTGAACCCCTAAACCCTGAACCCCTATAAACCCTAGGTGACACCATCAATACGCACATTGATGAGATGAACAAGAGCTTCACCATGCTTCAGCGCATCCACGGGCAAAAGGACACTCCGATCCTGCAATCCTATATAAACCTTATATAAACCTCACCCTGAAACCCTAAACTCTATGAACCCTAATTTAATTGTATTTTACTCCATCCTATGCCCCAAAGCTCCAATGAACTTACACAAACCCTCGAACATCCTTTTTCAGGAGACCCCGGACTCGCAGTGCTTTGCGGCTGTGGAGCTCGCGCAGCAGCGCATTGACATGTACAAGGAGGATAAGATGGAAGCCAATCGCGTTGCCCCGAAGCCGAAGAAGGCCAAGGGCAGCAAGGACCTGCGTGCAACCTCGGATGTATGTCACCCACCTTAAGTATCCTACGGGGCTATGTAGAGCTTTCTGGCTTGGAGCTTTCTGGCTTGTAAGGTTGGGGCTTATATAGGGGTTGTAAGGTTGGGGATCCCGGGGTCCATGCAGGAGTAGATACAGAAGTATAGATGGTTGGTATAGGATTCCTGGTTTAGAGGGCTCCCATATAGCATATATGGGGC